CAAATTGTGCACAGTTAGTATGATTTCCTTTAATTATTGCAGCTATAATTCAAAAAATATATATTACATAAACATGCATTGAAATTTCAATATATTTTTTATAGTAATAATTTGTCAACAGATTATATGAAACTTAAAGATATTAACTGTTTTATGTTAGAAAAATTTTTAAATTAATTGTTGAAATTGTTAATATCAGAATCCAACATCATTGAAGAACAATTAAATTTGAAAAATTAAATTGTTCTTCAATGATGTTGGATTCTGATAATGGATATTTGAATTCAAAAATATCTTACTAATTTATTTAGTTATATAAAGCTTATTTATTTATTTTAAAAACTAGGAAAATAATAAGAAAAATTCTATATAAATATAAATGTTGTTTGAAAATACAAGTTTTAATTTTATAAATATTTTAAATACCTAATAATTGATAAAGATATCCTGATATTGCATCCCAATTTTGACCAGCTTCTTCACCCATAAATGAGACTAAATATCCCTGATTTGTGATAACATTAATCTTGTCAATTGTTTCCAAAATCAGGTTCAGAATACCCTGAAAAACAAAAAGTATTATTATAATTAATTATAAAACGGCTGAATACAATTAGATTATTGTGTACCACATCAGAATAAAAATAAGTTTTATGTACCAAATAGTTTAAATTAGAAGTTAAAATAGTTTAAATTAAATTTAAAGACAATAAAAATAAAACTAAAAGTTTTGTAAACTTGAAGATGGACTATTGAATAGGTTGAAAATGTTAGTTTATATCAAAATAAATCATCTCAGCAAATTAAGGGGCTTGGTGAGGATTGTGTATTAAAAATAAAACCTTCACAAAATTTGAGATAAATTTTCTAGAATATGAAAAAGATAATTTTGTAAAAAAAAATTTAGTTCCAAAAATCTCTATATGAAAATGTTGTGTTATCATTAACAAAAGGAGTGTCATCCAAATAATCTTACCATAATGTTTATTATTCTTAAACAAATATAAAACAAACCTTATTAAAATATAAAATTAATACAGTAATACCTCGATCTACGCGAACCCGGAGTTATGCGAATTTCAAATCTCGTCGATTCGTCTTTTGTTTGAGCGCCATACAACTTTTGATTACTCACTCCCCCACACTATTGTTCAGCTTACATGTTCGGACGTGTAGTGCAGAATCGACACACAGCTACAATTTATTACGTGTTATTTATTTCTGTGTTTGTTATATCTACGGAGACTTGAGAGACTCTGTGTGGTGATTTCTTGTAACCATGAACAAATCAAAAGACGAGATAAGATTAACGAGAACATTTATTAGCTTACATATATCTGACTTGGATTTTACACAAATTGCGAAATTATACCCCGACTTACGTGAATTCGACTTACACGGTTACCGCTCAGTCCCACCTATCGCGTAAGTTCGGGGTATTACTGTATTCTATTCTATGTTATATTGTTGTATAAACATAAACAAATAAATAAAGAATTGCTATTTTTCTACAATGAACTTCAAAATCTGTATCAAAGTTTCATCTATAACATTAGATCTACATTCAGCCAATCATATAAGTCTAACATCACACTCCAGAAAACTGGAAGTTTTACCACTATTTGTCTCTCACTTCAAAGATTTAATTGAGGATTTCAAGTACTTACAACACACTTTGATTTAAAACTTTGTCATAATTTGCATATATATTTATTAAATGTTTTCCTAATTATTTTGTGTTTGTAATTGTTTGAGATAAAATTAATTATTGTTTAAGATTATAATAGTGATGTATCAAGTTTCATTACAGGGCAGTTCTATTTTACCTTCTAAAATTTACTTTTTTAATTTCTACATTCTATAATTTATTTTTTCCTAAATATCCATCTCTTATGTAGTCAATCAACATGATTAATTTTAAATTATTTTTTACTTTATAAACATAAAAGCTGTCCATAAATTACATGATACAAATGTGAGTGGGTATACAGATAGTCATTATAATGCATCACAAAGAGTGGGATGTTTACAAAAGCATTATATAATTCTAGGATCTCAGCCCTCAATAACAATAATTCATTTTTGTTTCCAAAGAGTTGCATAGCAAACTCTAGTGTTTATGTCATTGCTTTGTACATAATTAATAAAATAATGTAATGTTCAATACCCTATGCTATCTATATATTAGTCTTTAGTACAATTAGAGGAATCTATCTAGAATATGCATAGTATAATTTTGGAGATAAATACTAGATGCATTATAGAATGTTGTAGTAGCAGAATGGTAGTTGAAATATATAAATTATTTTATACAATTTATGGATGATTCTATATACTGATTCCTAAAGATTTTTTTAATTATTTAACTATAACAGAACAGCAAGTTCTGACAAATGCTATCAACATGTGAATGATACTGCTAAGTTTTCAGCAAGTTTTAGGACAGTAACTGTATATATGTACTTTTGTTTGTGAGAATCTTAAAACATATTTTTTTCCTCATGTAATAAAATCAACAAAGCAGGCTACATTAGACAAATATCTAAATGATTAAATACTGTATAAGTTTAATTCACTGTAATATAATAGAACATCGTTAAATAAATAAGAATTATTGAAGAAAAGCTATAATATTTTCATTTCTGCTTAAGAAGTTTCCCACTTAAGAAATTTTTAAGTTGGTCTCTAAAAAACTTAACAAAGTTCTACTATGAATTCAAATGATTTGAGAATATATATCTAAACCAGAATATATATTCTTAACCAAGTTCTACTATATATATATATATATATATATAGTAGAACTTGGTTAAGAATATATATTCTGGTTTAGATATATATTCTCAAATCATTTGAATTCATAGTAGAACTTTGTTAAGTTTTTTAGAGACCAACTTAAAAATTTCTTAAGTGGGAAACTTCTTAAGCAGAAATGAAAATATTATAGCTTTTCTTCAATAATTCTTATTTATTTAACGATGTTCTATTATATTACAGTGAATTAAACTTATACAGTATTTAATCATTTAGATATTTGTCTAATGTAGCCTGCTTTGTTGATTTTATTACATGAGGAAAAAAATATGTTTTAAGATTCTCACAAACAAAAGTACATATATACAGTTACTGTCCTAAAACTTGCTGAAAACTTAGCAGTATCATTCACATGTTGATAGCATTTGTCAGAACTTGCTGTTCTGTTATAGTTAAATAATTAAAAAAATCTTTAGGAATCAGTATATAGAATCATCCATAAATTGTATAAAATAATTTATATATTTCAACTACCATTCTGCTACTACAACATTCTATAATGCATCTAGTATTTATCTCCAAAATTATACTATGCATATTCTAGATAGATTCCTCTAATTGTACTAAAGACTAATATATAGATAGCATAGGGTATTGAACATTACATTATTTTATTAATTATGTACAAAGCAATGACATAAACACTAGAGTTTGCTATGCAACTCTTTGGAAACAAAAATGAATTATTGTTATTGAGGGCTGAGATCCTAGAATTATATAATGCTTTTGTAAACATCCCACTCTTTGTGATGCATTATAATGACTATCTGTATACCCACTCACATTTGTATCATGTAATTTATGGACAGCTTTTATGTTTATAAAGTAAAAAATAATTTAAAATTAATCATGTTGATTGACTACATAAGAGATGGATATTTAGGAAAAAATAAATTATAGAATGTAGAAATTAAAAAAGTAAATTTTAGAAGGTAAAATAGAACTGCCCTGTAATGAAACTTGATACATCACTATTATAATCTTAAACAATAATTAATTTTATCTCAAACAATTACAAACACAAAATAATTAGGAAAACATTTAATAAATATATATGCAAATTATGACAAAGTTTTAAATCAAAGTGTGTTGTAAGTACTTGAAATCCTCAATTAAATCTTTGAAGTGAGAGACAAATAGTGGTAAAACTTCCAGTTTTCTGGAGTGTGATGTTAGACTTATATGATTGGCTGAATGTAGATCTAATGTTATAGATGAAACTTTGATACAGATTTTGAAGTTCATTGTAGAAAAATAGCAATTCTTTATTTATTTGTTTATGTTTATACAACAATATAACATAGAATAGAATACAGTAATACCCCGAACTTACGCGATAGGTGGGACTGAGCGGTAACCGTGTAAGTCGAATTCACGTAAGTCGGGGTATAATTTCGCAATTTGTGTAAAATCCAAGTCAGATATATGTAAGCTAATAAATGTTCTCGTTAATCTTATCTCGTCTTTTGATTTGTTCATGGTTACAAGAAATCACCACACAGAGTCTCTCAAGTCTCCGTAGATATAACAAACACAGAAATAAATAACACGTAATAAATTGTAGCTGTGTGTCGATTCTGCACTACACGTCCGAACATGTAAGCTGAACAATAGTGTGGGGGAGTGAGTAATCAAAAGTTGTATGGCGCTCAAACAAAAGACGAATCGACGAGATTTGAAATTCGCATAACTCCGGGTTCGCGTAGATCGAGGTATTACTGTATTAATTTTATATTTTAATAAGGTTTGTTTTATATTTGTTTAAGAATAATAAACATTATGGTAAGATTATTTGGATGACACTCCTTTTGTTAATGATAACACAACATTTTCATATAGAGATTTTTGGAACTAAATTTTTTTTTACAAAATTATCTTTTTCATATTCTAGAAAATTTATCTCAAATTTTGTGAAGGTTTTATTTTTAATACACAATCCTCACCAAGCCCCTTAATTTGCTGAGATGATTTATTTTGATATAAACTAACATTTTCAACCTATTCAATAGTCCATCTTCAAGTTTACAAAACTTTTAGTTTTATTTTTATTGTCTTTAAATTTAATTTAAACTATTTTAACTTCTAATTTAAACTATTTGGTACATAAAACTTATTTTTATTCTGATGTGGTACACAATAATCTAATTGTATTCAGCCGTTTTATAATTAATTATAATAATACTTTTTGTTTTTCAGGGTATTCTGAACCTGATTTTGGAAACAATTGACAAGATTAATGTTATCACAAATCAGGGATATTTAGTCTCATTTATGGGTGAAGAAGCTGGTCAAAATTGGGATGCAATATCAGGATATCTTTATCAATTATTAGGTATTTAAAATATTTATAAAATTAAAACTTGTATTTTCAAACAACATTTATATTTATATAGAATTTTTCTTATTATTTTCCTAGTTTTTAAAATAAATAAATAAGCTTTATATAACTAAATAAATTAGTAAGATATTTTTGAATTCAAATATCCATTATCAGAATCCAACATCATTGAAGAACAATTTAATTTTTCAAATTTAATTGTTCTTCAATGATGTTGGATTCTGATATTAACAATTTCAACAATTAATTTAAAAATTTTTCTAACATAAAACAGTTAATATCTTTAAGTTTCATATAATCTGTTGACAAATTATTACTATAAAAAATATATTGAAATTTCAATGCATGTTTATGTAATATATATTTTTTGAATTATAGCTGCAATAATTAAAGGAAATCATACTAACTGTGCACAATTTGCACAATCTCATAGATTGGATTGGTTATTTAGCAGATTAGGCAGCCAACAGGCTACTGAAGGCACAGGTAATTTATTAATGATTATTAATAAAAATTATTTATCTTAAATGTATAAAATGTGTAGATAAATTATTAAACTTTCAAAATTATATAAACTAGATTTTTTAAATTTAATTAATTTTTATAACTGTACATGATAAATATTTTATTAAAATAGTTTATCTTATAGTATATCTCAAAGTTTATTTTAGAACTTTTATTATTTTTACAACAAATTTAAAAGTGAATTGTTATTTTTATAGGCATGTTGGATGTATTGCATTGTGTTTTAATTGACAGTCCTGAAGCTCTAAATATGATGAAGGAAGAACACATTAAAGTTATTATTTCCTTATTAGAGAAGCATGGAAGGGATCCAAAGGTATAAAATGTTTGGAGTGGTAAATAATAATATATAACAAATAAGTTTACTGTTGAGAGAGATTTTATTTAATTCAGTATGTAAATGGCATTCATTTTTCTTGGCCAAACGATCATTATTTTTAAAAGCCAGTTAACTAACATTGAACAAAAATCTAAATTAAAAATGTTTTAAGAATATCTTTTGTAAAAGTAATTAAAATTGTTAATATTTATTAGTACAAGGAAAGATAAGATTATTTCTGATATTCATGAATTATTTTTAAATTAATAGGTTAATATATTATAATTGATAATTAATTAGAAGACATTTTTCTAATTAAATTACTAATTTTATACTAAAGCTCATAACATGTTAATTAATTTTATGAATATAATTTTAATAAGAGTAAGTCAAATATTTAAGCTTTTTGAGCTATTTCAGTTTGATCTATAATTACTACACTTATAAACCAGTTTTCAGGAACAATGTAAAATATCATAAAAATTATACTTTAATCAAACCAAAACTTGTTTTTGATGAATGAAAATTTTCAAAAAGTTAGTAAACACTTTTTCTCTTATATTGGGGTATGTTTGAAAAGTTGAATGAGTTATCAATGATACATGATACAATTATCAATGACAATGATATTATTCTCATTTATAATGATATCATTGTTATTCTTTTGCTGAATATTTTGACTGATTTGTTTACAACAAAATAACTTTTTGTAAAATCAAAGTTATAAATGTTATTAGTGTATTTTTATCTGAGATATTTTTCTTAGATTACTTAAAGTGGGCAGTTATTTGTAACATTTAATCTTTTAATACAGAAATTACACACTTGAGTAGATGTAGAAACACCAGTATTACCAGATGCCATTTTCTTCATAATGTAAACTGATTATTTCTTTTAAGAATTTCATTAATGTTTCATTTAAAATGCTATCAGCATTGAGTATGTACACTGAGCAGAATTAGTACTTTATGACTGGCTTGTTAATAGTTTGTTTAACTTGTTTGACTTTATAAACATATCCTTGGTTTTTGTCTTATCATAGTAATTGTGGTGATGATACTTTTGTAACGAAAGTTAATTTTCCTGTATGTCATGCAAGAAGTAACCACCAATGAATAAGACATTCCTTTATCATGTGTGTTTATTATTTGTCCTGGTATGGCACTTGATTGATATTTGGTAATCTGTCCAATTTTTATTTCTTTAGTTAATTCTTGAAGATGAATGTGTGAGTAGTATATTTTAAAAGAATTTGAGATTTTGAAGCATGTTTGAAAAGTTTATTCCATGAAAAGCAATTTTGTATGTACAGGTAGCCCTCATAGAACACAGTACTTCTACAACATGGTTTGAAAATTAAGGATATCTCCTGAACAACATGACTTCCAGTTTTGCTCTAACATGTTTTGGATAGTATAGAGGTTTTGGAAATCCTCTATACTAAATTTCACAATTTTTAAGAGTAAACTTTTTTTTCAATATTTTTTTTATTCAAGTAAGCATGCATGTTGTCTCAAATTTGCCCATGGATTTTAGAATATTGAAATTTTCAAATTGTTTTGTGCTTTTTGTAAGATTTACTTTAATGAAAACTGATAGTGCAATTCTTCTTTGTCCTAACTTTTCTATCAACCAGGTGTCTTTATTGTTGCTTTCAGACTTTAGCTCTTAAGATTAAATAAATACTTTACTAAATACAAAAATTAAACATTTTTAGGTAAGTGTTATTAACATTTTTTTTTAAAACTGTAGGTAAGCAATTATTTAAAAAACGATGAATGAAATATGGCAGTACTTCAGTACTTGAACAATTCGATATTTCAACACATATTCTGGAAAAACATCACTCAGTACTTGAGTGAACAAACATGACCCTCTAGAACAAATTTTCATTTAATAATATGTTTTTATTTTACCATCCATAAAAATTTTTTATAATAAAAATAGTAAATATGAAAATGTCGCTGATACTTTTGATCAAGATCAGCAAAAAAGATGAGATGATGATGATACTTTATAAAAAGAAAACACCCTCATTTAACTAAAATTAATATTAATGCATAATACAGCACTTTTAATTGTGATTGTTGGTTAATTATTGATTGGAAATAAATTATCTATTGCTTTAATAAACATATGTCTCTTAGTAACAAAAAAGAATAGTATACTTTTGTTAACTTCTGGAATATAACATTAGTCCTTTGCTTCATATAGCACAAATTTGCATAACATGGTATTTTTTGGAATGTAACTATTGTGTTATATGAGGGATACCTATATTATATATTTGAGGAGCTTCCTTAGTAGATATATTAGAGAAGTATATTATCCTTATAAAGTTTTTTAAATTGGTTCAAAGTAATTTTAACTTGTAAGTTCAGTTAATTTATTTATATAACTCAGTCCAGATTAAAATAATGAGTCTTATTCCATACATAGTTTAACTTGTCAAAAAACATAATAATGTCACAACCTAGAAAGAGAGATATTTGTAGGATAGCATATTTAAATATTATATGATTATACAGAAATAGTAGTAGTTTAGTTTTTTTATCATATCTAATGCTATCATAAATCTCTTAATTAAAGGACTAATCAACCTCAGCTTTTCAGGTATTTTATGATATGCATTATAATGATCTAAATTACTTGGTATCCATCCGAAAAAAAGTAACATAAATGCTAAAATGAAAAATATACATTGCTAAAAGTAATGGGTAGTAATGATTTTTTTTTTTTTCAAAAACATGAGAATATTATTAACTATCAAAAGTGATAACATTACAAACTATAAATTCAACAAAAATTTTGAAAAATTAAAGAACAGTTAAAAAATAAAGAGAAAATAATTTCCACAAAACTTTTCATTTTAATTAAGTTTGATATAAAAAAATTTAAAATTCAATGAAATCAAATCAAATTAAATGATATTTGAATTTTTATTTGTTTATTTTATAGGTTTTGGATGTTCTATGCTCATTATGTGTTGGCAATGGTGTTGCAGTTCGAAGCAGTCAAAACAACATTTGTGAAAATTTATTACCTAGTAAAAATCTTCTACTTCAAACTCGATTAATGGATCATGTTGCAAGGTATGTTTTATCAAAATCTTATTTAAAGTAGTAATCTTATTTAACCACTTGCATACATTTATTCCATGCAGAATGTCACTTGGAAATCCATAAGTAATTGATTTTTTATATTAAATAATTATTTCCACTTAAACGCGAATCTGACATCCAAAAAAATTGCCAGGAAATAATTCCTGCGAAATAAAACCCCCAAAAAGTGTTTTTACAAAAAAAGTATATAAAGAAATAAAAATAATTTAAAATAAATGCTTTTATTTGATAAATATAGCTGCACCTATTGTTATTCTTTCATTTAATAAGGTGTGATATTTCACATGTGCAGGCTACATTGTTTACAAACTGGTTGACCTTGAGAACAGCTAGTGTCAGCTTTCCTGGGTGGTACTCATGTACGCCTCAGGGTAATATTGGTTTAAAGCAGGAGGGGAACTAACTTACTGCATCTATTCAAATATAACACAAAATTTTCAATTTTTATGCTATTGAAATATGGGGGACTGAAAAAAAGTTATGGAAAAAAATTCTACTGAATAAAAAACAAAAAACTGCTGATGTCATAAAAAACATCCAATAGCATTTAAAAAAACTTTACAGATGTCAAATCCATGAAATACAAGTTTAGAACGTTTTTATTAATTTGATAAAAAAAAACTCTCATAAAAAACCAATAGTGCAATTAATTAGCTAATTAATAAATTGCCATAAAAAGTTTTTGCGGCAAAAATAATTCATGAAATTTGCATAGGTGATAGATAAAGATGAATATATGCTGATCCATACATTTTTGGAAAAGTTATAAATCAAGGCTCTTTTTTGAGGCCCCTTAAAGTCCATGCCTGAGATATCTTGGGCTATGGACCATGCATCCTTGTGCACAGTCTGAGATAACTCGGGTTATGAGCAGAAGTATACAAATAGTAAAGCTTTAAAGCTTTACTATTTGTCTAATTTAACCCCTTGTTATTTGTCTACTGTAAATAACTATAAAATTCCAAACAAGTGCTATTAGTGAAATAAATATATCATATACTTAATTGATTAAGAATCTCAAACATATTTTATAAATTACATCACTTTTTTAGATATTATTCTTCTCTATCTTTGTTTTGTTTTATCTTAATTTTCTTTTGTAACTATTTGATTTCATATATATATATACAAATCATTGTTTTCAACAAATATGATTATTGAAATTCATTCCATTTTATTCCATCTTTATTGTGATATTATGATAAGAATACATTCTTGTTACAAAAGGTTTACATAAAAATTTTTAAGACCAAATAAATTATATGAATACATAGTGATCTAACATTTGATCAATAATAATCAATACATTGATAATTATCTTGACTGTCATAAGTTTTTCCAACAACCAGGCATTATTTAAAATTAAACTTATGCAATTTCTTTTTGAAATATATTAAACAATTTAAGTATTATCATCAAATTAATTTTATGAAAATAATTTACATTAATTTTTCTTCTTTAATAGTTTTTAATATCTGTCAAATTATAATAATTTAAAATTCATGGCCATTTTTACATAAACAGAATATATGTATCTTTGACAACTTATTATTATAGCTATGACATCATTTACTAGGTCATAAGTACCCAAAATGATGATAAATTGACTTGTTCTATTTAATCTGTGTAAAAAAATTTAAGAATTTAAGGCAAATTTAAAAATTAATAATTATATTAGGAACCTTATGTTGGGAAATAAAAAATATAAATTGTTATATTAGGAAAATTCAATATAACTGTTTACCAGTTATGATTTTTAGTTTCAAATAAAGTTTGAATCAATTGAGTAAAAAGATAATCTTTAAATTTATTTTTTCCAATAATGTCCGTATAAAAATATCATAATTATTTAGATTATTAGATAACTGATAGACCCAATTATTTTTATTATTGGGATTACTCTGCAATTTTTATAATAATGTAAAATATAGGATAACATTATATTTACATTTGCATAAACAAAGCCTATCCTCCAAATTTAGCCAAATAAGCCTAAGGTGTACCTAGCAAGGAAATAATCTGAAATTTGCAACTCACAACATAACATGAAAAGAGTTGCTGTCTTTTCTTCAAGGATCTTTCTTCTCTTCAGTTTCTGTTTCTTTTCTATGCTTGCCTCTTTTCTTTAATCTCTATGTTTCTTTGTGTTGATTCTATCTCCTCTAGATTTGACACTCATCTCTGGTGTGATTTTCTTCTGCCGTGTTTACTCTTTCTTGATGATGTGTTAACTCTCCTCTTTCCCTATTTTTTCATCCATTCCCTTTTGTTTTATTCGTTTTTTTTCTTATTAATTATGATTTTATTCCAGAGGAAGTTGATGTAATAAGAAATAAATTTGATTGGTTATTTTTAGTCCTTCTTTTCTCTTATTTAGTATGAATTATGTATATTCTCATGATGTGAATAAGACAATAACTAACACTTAAACTAGTTGAAAAGGGGAAACAACAGTCACCCCCTTTGTCTTTTCCTCCGAATGTTGTGAGGTTAACAGTAATTAACTGATAATTTTTTAAATTCTAATTTGTTTCTCTTGATTATTTTTAATCTGTATTGCTAAAAATTTTGAAGGGATGGTCTCTAAAATTTGGAAAATAGGTGGAATTTCTTTAGAATGCTACTTGATAACATTAACAACTATGGTGTCTCATTCACACATAGGGATATCCTGATACTGCTGATACAGATACTTTTCTTTGAAACTGAGTACTTTTTGTACTTGATACTTTTGGTCTGATACTGATACCAGTATTGATACTTTTCCCTGGGTATCGATACTTTTCCCTGGGTATCAGATCTGGTATTGTTGCATTTTTCACAGACAGGTAAGGTCTGCACAAAACCAGATTTTGCAGCTGAATCAGAAACCAAAATGAAATTTTACACTAGTTTTGGTTAAGTTAAACTTATATAAAATGTATTAATGACTAAAAATCAATAAATGTATTACATCAAATTTTATTTCCATAATCTATATATGCTTAAAGTTCTGACTGCTATTTATAAATAAATATTTAGTAACTTTTGTTATACTTTTGTTTGTTAATTAACTTGAACTACCAGTGATGTTAAAAATGAGCTACAAGTTGTATATACTTGTTGCACTGACATTTGTAAAATTTGAACACAATGAAGAACTTTCAATGTAAAGACACTGTTTTACCTCTTCACCAATGACTTCTTATCCACCCCTAATCTATATATACTTTAGTAGTACCCACAGAGCCCATTAACAGGATTGTAGATCTGGGGCATCTTTTGTGTACATAAGACGTCTTACGTGTGTAAACTGAAGTACTGACTGATGCATCAACTTCTGGTCTGGATAGCCAGGATTTAATTCTCTGGACTAAGCAAAAAAATATTAATTGCTATTCTGGGGTTGACTCTGCCTTCATTCTAATGAGTGCAGTACCTCTATCCCTCTTTTTTATGTGGTCTATTTTTACAGTTTTGAAATAACACAGTTGACAAAAGAAAATTAATTCTCTTTTTATGCAATTGATTCTTACACAGGGAAAAACAGTTTATTTGAAAATTTTTTTAATTTAACTTTTTGTTAAAATTGTATTATTGTTAAAACAGTTACTTTTTTGTTGAAATCAAGATTTTAGTTATCTTTTTTAAGCACAGCACAGCACAGTACTATATGTACATCAGAGAATACTGTATGTTGATTTTATGTTTCCTATGCTACTTTGTGTTTACTATATTTATGTGCAAACAATGTTTAGTTTAGTTTAGTTTAGTTTATTGAACATAATAGGCAGTCGCCTGTTACAAGGGGGTACATGACGATGAAGAAAGATGGAAAATAAACATTCAATAACAAAAATTAAACATATCTCCACTTTAGAATAACATGTAGTATTTAAGATTTTACATTTAAGAGTCTTCTTACACCATTATAGCAATTGTAAATTTCATTAGTGGTGGCTAGATTGAATTTATTGTACATATGATTACCTAAACTTTGGCTATTATTTTGATCTTCAGTGATCTTTGATTCTTGATCTTTATTAAGGTCACATCCATAAAATAAATAAAGCTTTGATAGTGTTTTAGCACAATTTGGACAAACGGAGTGTGCAAATTCCAAATATTTGCCTTCAAATATTAATCCATTTTGATTCCGTCTCATCTGAATAAAAAAATTTTTTTGACTTGAAAAGTTAAATTCGTAAATATATAGTTGTTAATAAACGGATAATTAAAAAGGAAATTATAGTAATATTTATCACTTCTCTTGTGCAAACAATGTTAATGATAAATAATGTTAGAATTAAAGAAGCTTGTGTTTCTTTTATAAATTGCTTATTTTTTCATTCTATTGAAGTTGCAGATTCTATCAAGCATTTTTCTATAGGATGCATGTACTGTACATTTTTATGCAATGTTTTTTACACAACATTTTTTGAAATGTATCCACTGTGCAAAAAGAGGGATAGGTGTACCTTCTCAGCAGTAAAAANTTTTTTTTTTTTTTTTTTTTTTTTTTTTTTTTTTTTTTTTTTTTTTTTTTTTTTTTTTTTTTTTTTTTTTTTTTTTTTTTTTTTTTTTTTTTTTTTTTTTTTTTTTTTTTTTTTTTTTTTTTTTTTTTTTTTTTTTTTTTTTTTTTTTTTTTTTTTTTTTTTTTTTTTTTTTTTTTTTTTTTTTTTTTTTTTTTTTTTTTTTTTTTTTTTTTTTTTTTTTTTTTTTTTTTTTTTTTTTTTTTTTTTTTTTTTTTTTTTTTTTTTTTTTTTTTTTTTTTTTTTTTTTTTTTTTTTTTTTTTTTTTTTTTTTTTTTTTTTTTTTTTTTTTTTTTTTTTTTTTTTTTTTTTTTTTTTTTTTTTTTTTTTTTTTTTTTTTTTTTTTTTTTTTTTTTTTTTTTTTTTTTTTTTTTTTTTTTTTTTTTTTTTTTTTTTTTTTTTTTTTTTTTTTTTTTTTTTTTTTTTTTTTTTTTTTTTTTTTTTTTTTTTTTTTTTTTT